ACTACAGGCGCCCGCCACCACGCCCGGCTAGTTTTTTGTATTTTTAGCAAAGACGGGGTTTCACCATGTTAGCCAGGACAGTCTCGATCTCCTGACCTCATGATCCACCCGCCTCGGCCTCCCAAAGTGCTGGGATTACAGGCTTGAGCCACCACGCCCGGCCGAAAATGAACACTTTCGTTTGTTTTCTCTGGACTTCCAAGAACTCCGGTCCACCTGAAAAGCTCCCCGCTCTGTGTGGCTTCATCCCTTAGCAGGCTTCCTGAGAGCAAGAACTGCCCCTCAGAGCACTCCTGGAGGAAAAAGGGGTTTTGCGGAGAACTTGGTTATCACAGAGACCTCCAAATTGTTACCACATCTTCAGACCCCAGATGATTCTGGGTACCCCAATTTGGGGCATTTGGAAGGTACAGCTGAGCCCAGCCTCAGTGTCCTGGACTGGGCTCCATTGTATGGTCTCATTTGTCATATTGGGGGAGAGGTGGACTGAGGAATAGCTTGTGGAATTCTAGAATTCTGTCAAGGGGCCAGGCAACTTTACTATTAGCTGGGTTCTAACCCTTTGCCAGACATTTAACATGCCCCATCACTGGTAAACCCCAGGACTGCCTTATGAAGAAGAGATCAACCCTATTTCACAAACAAGGCCACCCAAGCCCAGAGCAGTTAAGAATCTTCCCCAAGAGCTGGGGGCGGGGGCGCACACCTGTAATCCCAGCACTTTGATCATGAGGTCAGGAGATCGAGACCATCCTGGCTAACACGGTGAATCTCATTCTCTACTAAAAATACAAAAAATTAGCCGGGCGTGGTGGCATGTGCCTGTAGTCCCAGCTACTCCAGGGAGGTTGAGGCAGGAGAATCGCTTGAACCTGGGAGGCAGAGGTTGCAGTGAGCGGAGATCGTACTACCGCACTCCAGCCTGACAACAAAGCCAGCCTCAGTCTCAAAAAAAATCTTGCTCAAGTTCCACAGCTACTGTGCAAGTAGTGGAGCTGGCTTCAGCCCTGGGCCTGCATCCCCCACCAAGGTGGCCCTGCTGTTGTCTGTCCTGCTTGCTGCAGTCCAGCCATATCACAGGGGCTATTCAGCCTGTGCTTGTGACCCTGGGCTGAGCCGTGCAGAGTGCACCGTCTAGCCTCAGGGATGCCTTCCCGGCTTGGAGAGGACTGACGACTAAAGAGTGACTGGCTTCCAGTGGGGTCAATGATGGCCAAGCCTGGGGCGGTGGTCAAGACTAGAGGCTGACAGGGAACTCAAGAGTGTAAGGATCTCAGCCAGGGACCTTCAGAACTGCCTCTTCCT